GTTGGAATGATTGCACATGCAGCAGACTTGCTAGACTAAGGTGAGGCCTTTGGCCTTGCCCCTTGTCTCTGGCAGACCCCAGCGTGGCTTGAGCAGATGATCGCACATACCACGTGGAGAGATCTGTTTTATAAGCTGGCTGAAGCCCATCCTGACTGTTTGATGCTCAACTTCACTGTGAAGGTAGGGTGAGTCCTGGAGTGGAGAAAAGAGGGCCCGCTTTGTGGTCTTCCTGGTAGACCTTCCCTGCGGGCTTGCCATCCTTTCCCGTTTATTGCCCTCACACTGAGCAAGGGGAGCAGAGAGTGTCTGTGCTCAGGTCGCCATGGCTGTTTCAGGATGCCTCAGGCAGCCCAGACCTATCCTCTTCTTCAGATCCCAAGGCCCAGACGTTGGCATGGCAGGAAGCACAGGAAAAGTTAGGGATCGTGACCGAGCTCACTCAGGACCGTGGTGGGCTAGCTAACCCCCTCTGAGCGTCAGGTCTCCAGACGCTCACCTTGGCCTTTGGGTTATATGGCAGCTCATCTCTGATGCGGGGTACCAAGGGGAGATCACCAGTGTGTCCACAGCCTGCCAGCAGCTGGAAGTGTTCTCCAGAGTGCTCCGGACCTCTCTAGCCACAATCCTGGACGGAGGAGAGGAAAACCTTGAGAAAAACCTTCCTGAGTTTGCAGTAAGTCCCTCTTAATCCCCGGTGGAAGGGGGCTGCCCGGGGTCAGGCCATGCCGGATGCCCTCTCTGCAAAGCGCCTCAGATCAGAGAGAACCCTGGGCAGAGCCCTTGTTGTCTGCGTTTACCGCTGTGACCTGACCTGACACTCGTCTCCCTGTAACCTTCTAGAAGATGGTGTGCCATGGGGAACACACATACCTGTTTGCACAGGCCATGATGTCCGTGCTGGCCCAGGAGGAGCAGGGCGGCTCTGCCGTACGCAGGGTCGCTCAAGAAGTCCAGCGCTTTGCCCAGGAGAAGTAAGAGATGCCCTTCTTTTTCCTCGGAAAGACTGTGTCCCCGTCCACAGCTCAGCCTCCAGCCCCATCCGTTTGGGGTCAGTTCTCACCCTGTGGAGCTGAGTCAGCGTAGCTTCTGCTGCCCCGGCCTAGTAGAGTGCTGTGCTGTTGGCTCTTTGCTAGAAACATGGTGTGTACAGTTGTGCCCGCTTGTGCTAGGAGACTCTGACAGCAGGGTAGCCCTGGCCTGGCCTCCAGCTCTGCTTCCTATGGAGTCCAAGGCGCTTCATTTTCTGCAGCCAAGTCTTCCCTAACGAGGCATGCAGGGTGCGAGAACCCTCGTGGAGGTGGCAGATGCATCAGAGTCATTCATAGCTCACTGTAGCTGGTGTTCCCGGGGGTCAGTTGGTCAGAAGAGTAAATGACAGAACAGTGGGAAGTCACCGGGTCCCGCCAGCTCAGCAGTGACTGTTTAAGAGCGAAAGGAAGGAGAATGCTGTTAGTGATGCTGTGTGACTTTCCAACCAGAGGCCATGATGCCAGTCAGATCACGCTGGCTTTGGGCACAGCTGCTTCCTACCCTCGGGCCTGCCAAGCTCTGGGCGCCATGCTGTCCAGGGGAGCCCTGAATCCTGCAGACATCACAGTCTTGTTCAAGATGTTCACCAGCATGGACCCCCCTCCTGTGGAGCTCGTAAGCTGCGGTTTGGGTTCTGGGAGGCCTCCTGTTCCTCTCATTCTCCTAAGGCTGTGTCTGCTGGGCCCCGTGGAAATAGTTTGCATTGTTGTTAGAGACAAGGCCTTACTCTCTGGCCCAAGCTGATCTCAGACTGGGCTGGCCGTCCCGCCCTAGCTTCCCTGAGGGCTGGAGGCATAGCTACCCCTGGCATCAGCCCTCCTCCCGACCCTGCGGGTACTGCTGGGATTATAGCCAGTGCCTGTCACACTCTAGGCCAATGTTTCTCCACAGAGGTACAGCCTGTGCTATCAAACTCTCAGGTTCCACCCTTCCCTTCAGCCTTCACCCTGTCAGAGCCCTACAGGTAGGGGAGCTCTGCCTCCCTCCTTCTAGCTCACTCCCAAGTGTGCCTCTTCTTAGATCCGGGTGCCTGCCTTCCTGGACCTGTTCATGCAGTCGCTGTTCAAGCCCGGAGCCAAGATCAACCAGGACCACAAGCACAAGTACATCCACATCCTGGCTTATGCCGCTAGTGTGGTTGAGACCTGGAAGAAGGTACTGTCAGCGCTAAGAACCCGCCCAGCATTGGGAATGCCCTTACCATTGCGTACGAGATACTGAAAGAGCTCAGTGCCCGCAGGAGCTGTGTGGTGTCTTTTACGCTAGCACTGGCTGCAGAGTGGAAGGGAGTTTCCCGGTTTCCCGAGCCTCCCACCCAGCAGCCTCTGAGTCCCGGTTGCTGTGGGCTTGTGACTGTGCGGTGTGACAGTTGAGTTGCCTGTTGACTCTGCAGACAGGGAAGGGGCCACCCTGGGGTCCTCACAGCAAGGCCACATCCCCATTCTCACCAGCTTGTCTGGTTTCAGAACAAGCGGGTTAGCATTGGCAAAGACGAGCTGAAGTCCACGTCGAAGGCTGTGGAAACTGTCCACAATCTGTGTTGTAATGAGAACAAAGGAGCCTCAGAGCTGGTAGCAGAGCTGAGCACACTCTATCAGTGCATTAGGTGAGTGTGCCACCCGATCCCCTTCCTGTCCCTGGAGTGCCGGCCCTCCTGTCCCCACTCTCATGAGGAGCTTGCAAGAGCTTGGCTTTCTTGCTCTTAACCGCACATGGGCAACCTCAGCAGCTGCAGCAGCATGAGCGAGTTTAGGTGATTTCTGGCCAGAAACCTGTTCAGCAGACCCTCACAGAGCAGAGAGAGGGCATCCAGAATAGAGGACTGATTTGAAGGAAGAGTTCACTGGTAGTAAAGTTATTAAGCTGAGGCTCTGAAGTAAAGGGAAGTGTGAGCCCAGGCTGCCAGGGGCCAAGCTTTGTATTGGTGTTGATCATTTCCTGTGTGATTATGGAAGGGTTTGAAGGGGCTGAAAAGCAAATCCCTTCTGAGAGGGGTTGGTCTCATCAAGCCACTTCCGCAGAGAGCCACTCCTGCAGGGCCGAGTGAGCGGGGGTGCACTGTTTCCTCAGACTCTTTGTCCTTGCTTCCCAACCCTTTGTCCCTCGAAGTATCTCAGCCTCCTTTCCCCCGTTCTTGGTCAAAGGAAGCCTCGTCCCTTGTCTGCTGTAGGTTCCCAGTGGTGGCAATGGGTGTCCTGAAGTGGGTAGATTGGACCGTGTCAGAGCCAAGATACTTTCAGCTGCAGACCGACCACACGCCAGTTCACCTGGCCTTGCTGGACGAGGTAGGGGCAGAAGGGCCACTTGTCAGTACCCAGTGGTCTGTGTCTTGGACCTTTTTCCTGACATGAGATAGTAGATGCTCTCGTCAGAGCTGGGGTTTGTGTCCGTGTGAGGTTGTCCTTTCAAGGACCCTGTGTCGGTGACTACAGATGTGTCTATCAAGTGTTATCAGCAGGGAGGCCCAGAAGCTGACAAGTGCTGTTGCCATCAGCAGGAAGCCCCCTTGGGTGGCTGTGACACCCCGTGCATTCCCTGTGTGCTGCTGGTGAGCCCAGAGAGCCAGCAGGAGCCTTAGCCCCTCCCTTGGTTGTCCTCAGATCAGCACCTGCCACCAGCTCCTGCATCCCCAGGTTCTGCAGCTGCTCGTTAAGCTTTTTGAGACCGAACACTCCCAGCTAGACGTGATGGAGCAGGTGAGCTGTCCGGGGCTGCTCGGGGCTTGGGAGAGTTCCAGCTCTGACCTGCTCCCCTGGCCCTGCTCTCTCTCCCACAGCTCGAGTTGAAAAAGACCCTGCTGGACAGGATGGTCCACCTGCTGAGCCGTGGCTACGTGCTTCCTGTGGTCAGCTACATCCACAAGTGTCTGGAGAAGCTGGACACTGACATCTCACTCATCCGATACTTTGTCACTGAGGTCAGTGCGCCCTGGCTTCAGAGCTCACCCTGCCCACTAGCCCAACCCTTCAGGCTGGATGTCATCCGTGCGGTTCCCAGCCCTGAGATCTGTGCTCGGTTCCCAGCCCTGAGATCCGTGCTCGGTAGCCGTGTGACACTGATGGTTTATCAAACGCATCTCCCTGCGTTCCTCCCTGCGCCTTGGAGTTGGAGGCTGGGGTGTCCCAGGGAAGCCCCAGGGGGTGGGGCCGTGTCACAGAGCTGGCCACCTCACTGCCTGCCTGCTGTTGAGTGCTGCGCCCTGCACTGGGAGGTGTGGTAACGCTGCGGTCCCCACACTAGGTTTTGGACGTCATCGCCCCGCCTTACACCTCAGACTTCGTGCAGCTTTTCCTCCCCATCTTGGAAAATGACAGCATCGCGGGCACCATCAAAGCAGAGGGCGAGCATGACCCCGTGACGGAGTTCATTGGTAAGGCCCCCGAAACGTCCCTTTGCTGTGATGGCCCAGCCCCCTCCTCACCTCTTCTAACCCGGCCGCCATGTGTGTGCCCTGTGCAGCCCATTGCAAGTCCAACTTCATCATGATGAACTGAGAGCATCCGACCAAAGCCGGACCTGCTGGGCCCTGTTCGGGGGGACCGGAGGACTGGTACCGGAAGCTGCTTGTGAAGAGGTCAAACCAGCCCCCCCCAACCTCCCCCCACCAACCCCCCGGACGAAGCAGGGTCTGCTGGGAAGGAGCAGACAGCTTTTCTCAAAATGACTGTGTGTGCAGTGCCCAGAAGAAGCTGCCGTGGTGGACAGTCCTGCTTGCTGTCAGTGTGACCCTGTGATGTGTCACGTGCAGGAGTCAGGTGTATGCACCTCTGGGGGGCACCCAGCAGGCCTCGGGGTAGTGAGGACGAATCACTTCTAGGGCTTTCTAGGGCTTACGTAAGTTTTCTACCAGTGACCCAGGTGGTTGTTTGTCTTACTGTTTAAATTTGCCACGAGTAACGATGGGCTGGGCGGCATGTGTCCACACGCGCTATTCTATTCCCATGTAAATAAAGTGCACAGACTCAGAGTTTGGGGGAAGCCAGATACTTTATTCATCACTTAGGCCACCTGGAAGTGTTACCGTCTCCCATAGATCCCAGGTTGTAGACCACAGCTGTCTCTGCAGGGGGCCGAAGGCAGGCTCGGGCCCTGAGGGCCACAGTGACGCGCTCCCTCCCCACCATCCCCTCTTGGGACGGCTTCTGTGGTCCACACTCTGGTCCTAGCTGTCCACTGTCTGGTGTGGATAGTCGCCCCACCCCTGGCATGCTCTGAACACTGCTTCCAGAGACATCTACTTAAACAATGGGGTCCCCATACGTGCAGGCCTTCTCGATGGCGAGGTTGTAGCTGGCGCCTACCCCTCCTTTGTAGGTGCTGGTCACGATCCTCATCCAGCCCCTCTCACCCTGTAAGGAGCAAGAACTCTGCATTAAGGCTCAGGACATGCCCTCTGCTCACTGCTCTCCTCTGCAGACCCAGGCCCTGCTCTTCGCCACCATCCTCAGCCCAGCCCTGCCCTGCAGAGCGTGGGGGTCCAGTCAGAGCTCTGACACGGAGACAGCTGGAGTCAGCTCCCACTCCACTGCTAGGGAGAGGCGTGGGCTCTGGTCTGACTTTAAGAAAGGGAATTCTCTTACCCAGGGTTCGCCCCACGAATTACGGACAATCCAGTACTCAATCCCATTGCTGCTGACACCCCAGCCGGCCACAGAGATGATGTGGTTGATAAAGGTCTCGTCCTGGTGCTCGGCATAGATCCCTCCAGTGTAGTTCTCCATCTTCTCCGTCACCATTATCCCGCAGCTGGAAAAAGCCATCGGGTATCAATGCCAGAAGCGCAGCGGCACTTGTGCTGGTGGTACTTGGGTTACGGTAATGAGGCCCGCCGTGGGAGCCTCACCAACATTCTAGATTCACCACAGCCAGGGCCTCTCCACCTAGCTTACACAAAGTTCCCTGGGATGGACTGGCTAATACCTTCTAAGAAAGCCACCATCTTTACGGGCAGAGATGAGTACATGGTGCTCAAGCGAGGGGGTCAGACTGGCCCAGTGGAGAGGGTGAACAGGAAGACCCAGTTGCACGCATGCACACAGACCCCACGTGGCCTCGCCATCTGAGGGGACCACTTGCTCACCTGATGGGACCATTGGCGTATATCTCTGCCATCATCTTCTCCCTACCCGACAGGGAGCCGTAGTCACCCACCCTCCAGAGGGTGTAATTCTGGATGGTGTGACACTCATTGAATTCGGTGCAGGTCCCACACTGGTTAAACTTGTCACAGTCTAGAATACAAGAAGTCAGCATGACACGTCTCCTCACTAACCCTGATGACAGCCGCCCCTTTTCCTCTCCGCTTCTCTGATTTCGCCCGCCGTGGCAAAGCAGAAAGAGCAGAAAGAGCATTGGTTACTACACACTAGGCCCTCAAACGTTGCCCCTCTCATCTCCTGTAGCTGAAAACCCAGCACAATCAAACTTAAACTGTAACCAGGTGACTCTACCAACCAGGGACTACACAGGCCATTGTACTCAACTTAAAGAAACATTGTTACTTGGCTTGAGAAATACCAGAATTCAGTTTACCCTAAGGAGTATGAACACTGCTTGAGGTGTCTCAGTACCTGACCTTAAATGACACTACAGAGCTATAGTGACAAAGACTGGTACTGACATAGAAACAGACAGAACAGAGAGCCTGGAAATAAGTGACAAAACTATTCCCCGTAATTCAAGACACAGGAGGCAAAAACAGGCATTGGGGAAAAGAAAAGAAAAAAAGCCTATTCAACAAATGGTGCTGGTAAAACTAGATATCCACCTAAGAAAAAGAAAATTAGATTCGTACCTTTCATCCTATACAAAATCAATTCACATTGGATCAAAGACCCTAAAACCTGAAACAAAATTCTAGACAAAAATACAGGGAATGTCCCTCAAGATGCTAAGGTAGGTTAGAACTTCCTGAATAAAACAACAATAGCACAGGAATTAGCACCAAATAGCAGATGAGACCACTGGAAAATAAGACATTTCTGTGCAGCAAAGGGAACAGACAAGCACACGGGCCACGGAACAGGTGTGCACCACCTTTAATCCCAACTTGGGAGACAGAGGCAGGTGCATCTCTGGGCTTGAGGCCTGCTCCACACAGTAAGTTCCAGAACAGTCAAGGCTACATAGTAAGACCCTGTCTCACAGAGGAGGAAAAAAAAAAAAATTCAACATCCCTAGTCATCAGGGAAATGCTAATTAAAACTACTTTAAGAAACTACCTCACCCTCGTAAGAATGGCTATCGTTAAGAAATCTGACCGCAAATGTTGGAGAGGATTTTTGGGAAAAAAGGAAGCCTTATTCACTGCGTGTGGGGGTGCAAATTAATACAGCCATTATGGAAATCAGCTTGGAGATCCCTCCAAAATTAAAAATAGAATGACCACATGGGCCAGCTGTTTCACCCCTGCGCATATACCCCGAGAACGCCACAACCTACCACAGACGTACTTGCATGCCCACGCCTATTGCTGCTCTATTTACTGCACCGAAGAACTGGGAAACTAGTTGTCCATCAGATGAGTGGATCATGAAAACCTGGCACACTTAAAACCCGAATGCTAGTCCGAAGAAAAGTGAAATTACAAAATTCGCAGAAAGAATGAAGGACGCAGCGTATAACATAAAGCGAAGTGACCCAAACTCAGGAAGAAAACCGTTCCCCTCCATCTGCAGACCCTAGCCCACCACGTACACACATCCAAGTAAACCCGTGCACATGTGTGTAATGTGGAGAGAACAAGAAAGGATAATTTAAAAAGGGCAAAATGCTTGCTAATGACATCACATCCTGTAAGTCCTGTGAATTCCTTCCAAGGAAACACATTTGTTTTTCTTTGCAGTGTTTTGAGACAGAATTTCTCTGTTGAGGCCCTGGCTGTCCTGGAACTCGCTCTGTAGACCATGCTGGCCTCGAACTCACAGAGATCCACCTGCATCTGCCTCCACCACCACCACTGGGTGGAATCACACATTTTTAAATATAATATGTGCCCTTGATTGGGAGTGTTCACTCGTGACTTCACAAGGGGCCACTGCCTCAGTGAGGGATCTGAATTGTAAATTATGTTTGTGTACAGAACACTACTGTACGGCATAGCTCTTTTGTTTAATGAATGTCAGCCATGTATTCAATAAACAAGAATTGCAGTTGTTCAAATAACAATGTCAAAGTTGCTAAAAATATGTTGATAATCCTAATTTTGAAATTTCTGAGAATACCTGGGAATAGTCATTTATTGCGCGCACACACACACACACACACACACACACACACACACACACACACACCCCAAAACTAAAGGAGTAATAAGTTGGGAATTTGGAAATACTCAGAAACATGCTATTTTCCACTGAATGTTATATTTATAAAATGTATCACTGTTGCTGAATAAATGTACATTTTTTTTTTAAATGAAGGAAAAAAAAAAAGACAGGTTTAAGGGCTGGGGAATCTGTCAGTAAAGTGCCTGCCATTGTAAGCATGAGGACCTGAGCTGGGTTGCTCAGCACTCAGGTGAAGTCAGCATGACGGCGTGTGTCCGTAACCCCAGCCCTGGGTGCTGAAATCACGTTGGTCTCTGAAGTCCACTTGCCAGCCAGGCTAGCAAGACGGATGTGCTCCAGGCTCACTGAGACAGCAAGGTGGAGCATGACAGAGGAAGGCACTCATGAGGGAGGCTGACCTCTGTGTAAGTATACCTCTGTCCAGACCCTTCCCTGGGACAGTAAACTCCTTGAGGATGCCATCATCAATTTATTTGTCCCTCAGTCACCAGTGCTCAGTGTGAGATGCACCAGGGATACAGTGGCTCTGGGGCCACCTTTGCTCCTACAGGGAAGAGACTGTTGAGTGGTTCTTATGAACCCAGACACCTGTGAGTCTGGGGAGACCAGAGGGACCTAGCCTCAGCTGGATGACACCAGTTTGGGGGTGGAGGAGGACGGATAATGCCTCAGAGACATTCCACAAAGCAGCCCATTGCCTTCCCTCCACCCTGCATCTATTCCCTTGGTGGGGGTATCTGTCCTTGGGCGGGTTTACCCATCCAACACAAAGGACTCAACCAAAGAGGCCAGAGAACTCTTTAGGTGAGGCAGTAAGGTCCATGAGGGAGGCAGGCAAGGGAACACCACCTACAGGGGTGGTACAGATTGACCAACAGCCCTCTAGGCACCTCTGAGACCGCCAGAGCATCCTGCTGTAGCCATGGGGGAGAGCTAAGGATCAAAGCTTACAGCTATGAAGCATGGACTTGGGTCCAGGAGTTAGTTTCCTTTCGGGTTTCCAAGGAAAGTATCCCCAAAGGGATGTGCCAACGTGGGTTTCTGCGTCAGGCTGCTCTGCCCATTCATGATATGTTCAGGACTGCCGGGGCCGGAACCAGGCTGGTGCTCCGCCCCAGCTGGGCAGGTCACCTTGCAGCTCAGAGAGCAGCCACATCAACTGCTCTCTGTTCCAGATGGTGGCAAAGGGACACCTCCTTCCATCAGCTGACCCCCCTACCGCCCCTTATAAAAGGCCGATAAAGCCATCCAAATGCCAGGTATGAGAACTCACACACCACACCCAATCCTAGCTGCTGGGGCTGGAGATGGAGCCTAGGTCCTTGTGTATGGCAGGCAAGCACTCACTGAGCTACATCCCCAGTCCAGAGTGCCGTTCTTCTGGTATCTCTCCATGCTAAACTCCACAAGGACCATGGGCTCCAGCTTTCTGTCATCTGAACCCCAACCCACCAGGTCCAAAGTGACATCAGATAACCCTGGAGCCCAAGCCAGGAGCCATGCAACTCTTCCCGAGGGCTGCAGTCTCCAGCCCGACCCTCTTCAGCATCCCAGCCACACACAGTATGACAGATGCGTGACGCTTGCGTTCTCAGCCACGCTCCCTCGGAAGAGCGAGGGCTGCAATGTGGGCCGGGGCACAGCACAGCCTACCTTGGTCCTTGGCCTGGTAGTTGTTGCAGGTCTCATCAGGGATGCCATGCTTATGGGCGTACGCCCACACCGGAAGGTCATTGCCTCCCTCACAGGAACCAGCGTTGCCACAGTCGATGACGTTCTGTACTGAAAGCAGGGTAGAGGGCCACGCGCCTTTCCTCTTGATGTTGATGCGGTCTGCAACGGTCAGCACCCTGGTCAGTACCACCCAGGCTCCCCAAATTCCGCCCACCGGTCCTTCTATAGGGGAGGCCTCAGCTCAACTGTGGCTACAGAGACACTCGGGCACCCTGATGTCTGTGTGTGCGCTCAAGTGTCACAAGGCAAGGCCAGATCTGGAGGTCCCAAGAAGCACCTGCTACCTACAGGACGGCAACAAAACCACCTGTGTGAGGAGGCTAGAGACCAGTTACAGACCATACATCTGGCGTGGCTTAAGCCTGGCGTGGGCATCTCCAGGGAAAAGCACGGCCCAGGGAGACAGATGAGCCCTAGCGAGGGGCCAGACAGCAGCGCTCAGTGCTCATGGCAGGAGCCACACAGGGCAGCTGGGATCACAGCATCCACCAGGGCGTGGCCGATCTGTATCCTGAAAAAACATCTTGCTCTTCACTCCCAAGCTGTACACACAGCACACGCCAGCTGTGCTCCCCAGGCGCCTGTCTTCCACAGCCCCTGTGCTCCTCCCCTGAAGCCAAAGCCCATCTTCATTTTCCCTCCTCCCTACAGATCTCAACCTCGACTTGCCTTCCACACACTCCCACTCTGGTCCTGCTCCACAAAGCTGCCATCGAACAGCACAGAACCTTCTAGAACCACCTCTCGCATACCCCGCACACACATGCTTGATGACCTCAGCAAAAGTAGATCTTGTCACCATTTAGACCCGTTCCTGTGCCCAGAATGTACTTGCTGTGACAAAGACAAGCAGCCTCCCGGCTGCCCAGCGCGCAAGGGCTACCCCTCGGGTCTCCTTTCTCTTGCTTGGCTCCCTGTAGCCCTCCTCCCTCTACATCCCTAGCAACAGTCAACCTCTCGGTGAGGGGCACCCGCAAGCCCACAGACCTGTAGTGAGATATCTACCCTGCACAGTAGGACAGCACGTCCAAAGTCAGTGGTTGAGGTGGGGGCAGTTCTTTGCCCAAGAGGCTGATAGCAGGAGAGAATGAACTCCAAAAGGCGTGTCATCAGTGCCCAACATATACCTGGGAATACCTGGGTGCTGTCAGGAGCAATTGTGTCTCATGTCAATGGAGTAGTAACATGAAAGCATTTAAATGCCATATTCTGCAGGTCTATGAAGTGTTTGAAGCTCAAATATCTGTGTCTGACTGATCCCATAGATAAGAAACATGGGTGGTAATAATCTGTAATTCTCAGGAACGTAGTTATACAATGGCTGAAGCGTCCCAAAATATTTCAGCAAGGACAATGGGTTCCAAAAAAAATATAACTATATACATATATGTGATTCTCAATAACAGAGATAGAACTGTAAAGAGCAATATGAAGATATCCTAAGCTGTATCAATATACAAATGTATATACATCCAGATAGTCTTACATTTATGTGCAAAATATTGTACACAAGTAGAAGACCCTATACAGTCAACATACAAGAATCTAACAGTTTAGGTTATCTGTAGCTAATAGTTGCTAAAATAGTTTACAGGAAAATATGTTAGTGTACCAATATCCCATCCTAACCATACCCTTCCCACCCAGACCCTTAAACTTATCTAAAAGAGATACCCAAGTCTGAGCTGCTCTTGTCAAGGTGCCTATCCCTCCCATTTTAACCCTTCTCCACTCACATCCGACTGCCTCTTCCAGAGGGTCAGCAGAGGGGACACTCTAGCCCCTGGAAGTGCCTGGGGTGCCTCTTCCGCATTCAACCCTAGCAATGTGTTTCCTGATGCTTGCGGAGAGCCCTTTCCTCCTCATCTCTGGTCTCTCCCTTCTGGTGACCTCAGCTAAGGCCGAGAGCAGTGGCCGGCTGGATAGCCTCAGGCCTGGCGTCTTCTACATCTGACATAATGTCTCCTTTCAACCTAATCAACTAACTGGCTCCAGACTTTGCAGGCTTCTTGAGATGACCCTTCTACACAATCCACTCTACCCCTTCTGACTTGGCTTCCTTTTCATTATCAGATTTCTGTTCATACCGTCTGTGTGCTGAGCGCCGTGCCAATGGCAGAAGTAAGCCAGCAAGCGCAAGCTCTGCTCTGTGGACCTGTACCACGGCATAGGAGACAAGCCGGCGGGCAAGCAGAGTAGCGCTGCAAAGGGATGTTCTGGAGAGCATCCAGGACCTAAGGTGCCTAGGGGAGCTTGGGAGATGACCATCTGGGGTGATGTGCATGAGAATGGCCCCCACAGTCTCACGTATGTGAACGTGTGGTTCCTAGCTGGTTGACTGTTCGGGAAGGATGGGGAAATGTGGCCTTATTGGAGGAGGTTGTCTCTGGGGCTCGGCTTTGAGGTTGAAAGAGCCCACACCATGGCCGGGTCTGCCTGCCTCCTACTTGTGGATCAGATGCTTCAGCTACTGCCCCAACGCCATGCCTGCTGCCAACGCCTCCACCACGAGTCGCCCTCGGAAACTGTAAGCAAGCCCCAGGTACATGCTTTCCCGTTGCCTTAGTCATGGAGGCCCTTCACAGCAACAGACAGTGACTAAGATGCCATCCCAGGAGACACATGAGGACAGCGACTTGCACACGAAGGTACTTATGCCTCACCAGCTGGTGTGAGCACGGGGTGGAGGCAGAGCCAGACTGCAGGCCCTGGAGGTCATTTGTCTAAGTGGAATCCTGAGACGTGTCAAGTAAAGAAATATGATGGGATTTAGGTTTAATGGGCACATTCTGGGAATCTCTAGTCTGACACCAGACAGGAGCCAGGGTGCGAGGAAAGACGGCGCCTAGCGCCTTTATTAAGGACTAAGCGATCAGCTAAAGGCCCAGGTCCTTCGGTTGGTAGGAGCAACACAGGATGAGAGTCGGATAACCTCTGTGCTTTTTGCCTGAGCACCCTCAGGGGAAGGATGGGCTTGGAGGTGGGAAAGATGGTAAGGACGACATGAACGTCTGGGACTGGAGAGCAGGGATGCAGGCCAGAGGGAAGCAGCAGACGGACACGGAAGTGAGCCTGGGAAAAGGTCACAAGCCGGAACACGGAGCTCAGAAGACGCCAGGGGAGGCAGAGAGAGGCCACACGGGAGTGTGGTACAGTGAGGGCCTCACTTCTCCCCGACGGGAGGGGGCCTGGGTACACTGACTCAAGGGTCCCAAATGCGCGCGCGACAAGGGGTGGAGCAGAAGTGAGCAGGTGACAGAGAGGAGGGGGAGGGGCTCCAGATAACCCAACCGGAGCGGAGGAGGGGGAGGGGCTCCAGATGACCCAACCGGAGCGGAGGAGGAGGGGGAGGGGCTCCAGATGACCCAACCGGAGCGGAGGAGGGGGAGGGGCTCCAGATGACCCAACCGGAGCGGAGGAGGAGGGGGAGGGGCTCCAGATAACCCAACCGGAGCGGAGCAAGTAATGGGAATAGTGAGAGGGGTAAGCAAGGGGCTCCTGCTCCCCTATTGGAAGCGAATGATGAAGGGATGAGATGACTTCCTGTGTTGAAGCTAGGCGGCCTCGTAGAGAGAAGCTTGGATACTTAAACACCCAGGGATGGGGAGAGGCAAACTGGCCCCTCTGCTGCCCTGGCACCTGGCCAGGGCCTTGTGGAAGTCCCCTTTTGGTGTCTGCCCAGAGAAAGAGGAAGCGAGGCCTTGCCTACTGATGAAGATGTCAGAGATGGAGGGAGAAAGGACGAAACAGTGGCTTTCCCAGAGACGTTCCACTCTTGCGAAGGAGCAGAGGCAATGTCAATGCGGCTCAGTACCCACCCTGTGCTCTGCTAAGAAGTTCTTGTCACTTCTCCAACACCAGCCCTGTGGGCCCCACTCCTAAATGGTCTGGACGGTGCTCTGACTCTCCGCTATGGGCCTTCCCCTAACACCCTGCCTACTTGACAAGCGGCCCGTTGGCCCTTCCCATGCTGAACCTTCCCAGGCTACCTTTCCTTCCTTCCTTCCTTCTTCTCAGGGTTCAGCAGTGCAGCCAGAGGTGCCACCGCTACACGCTCTGGGGTACAGACTGCACCCTCAGCCAGGAACCCCTCACCCTGAAGAAAGAGTCCAAGCTGACGGGATGAACCCCAGCTGTCACTCATCTCACAATGGAGTCTGCTGACCTGACAGAGGCTTCCTGGTCTGGGAACTGAGAACCTACTGGCAGGCAAGAGGCCTACATAGGCCCTGCAGTCATGGGCACCACCAATTCACCGTTAACCAACCCTCAACCCAGGCTCCACCCAGGCCAGAAAGATCCCAAATCAAGAGAAAGGACTGCCTGAGTCACTCCCCCAGACAGGAGCAACCCTCCCCACTGGCTGCCAGGGCCACCTCTGGAGATGGCAAAGCTGAGTCTACACACCACAGGCTGGATGGCTCTTCCTGGCTGCTGCTCCCTCCACAGGGAAGGGCACAGCGGCCCTCTGAGGGTTATCGCTTCCTCCTGCGCCTTCTTCTCGCACTTGCGGTGGCCAGGCTATGATTTAAGGGAGGGAACTGGCTGGGGGGACAGGTTAACCCCAAACACCAACTGCTACGGAGAAGCAGATTCACTTCCCTAATCCAGACATAAGCTGTCAGCTCAGTGATTTTGCAATGTTGCCTCCATCTCAAAGGCTGAACTCACAAGTTCTGGGGGACAGAGGGTACCCAGGAGCCACTTCACAGGGTTCCAGCCCAGGCCTGTCCCCCAGAGGCCCTAAATGATCCAACTCCAGAAAGATGCAGTCACCTCACTCTGGCAGAGGGGAAAACAAACCCAGCCTGGATCCTGGAGTGTCACCGGGCCCCATCACCTTGAACTGTGGTAGCATGGTTCACCTCAGGCACTGGGCCGTGAAGTGCGGCCTCCACCTGGCCAGGGTACTGGCCCTGCCTTGGGCTCATCATGGGGTCCCAGGCCACTCACCTGCCATAGCACTGGTGCTACCGTGAGCCCAGCAGGAGCCACAGTACTGTGGGATGTGCTGGTTCCTTGTGACGCTGACATAGTTGACACCATTCACATTTCTCCAATCCCAGCTCTTGGGGAGATCCGATGGGGACAGGTACTCGTGGGGCCGAGGGTAAGTCCTGGGAAGAGGTTACTGTCATGGAAATCAACTTCGGAACACCTGGGGCCTCCCCTCCCCCACCGGGGCCACAGACCCAGACAGCCCTCCTGGAGCCTTCTTCCTTTCCCCAAAATGTGGAGATTCCCCAGCTTGGTGCTTCATCACCAGAAGAGCCACCAGCAGAACCCAGCACTACTGGAAGCTGATGGGGATAGAGCATCTCTCTAAATACACTAGTGCTCACCAACCAGGGCCAGAGAGGTGAGGAATGCCCCATCTAGCAAACACCAAAGCTCCCCGGATGTGAAAATCATTCCCAAAGGAAGGGATGGGATTTCCCAGGCCAAAAGAGGCAAGGGTGGCCCCGAGGGAAGCAAGGTCCCAGGTGGCAGGGTGCACGCGCCTGGCCCAGAACTGTAATCTCTTTCTCCCAGACACAGCCCAGCGCCCACCTGCGCCCCAGCTGAGCAAGCTGGTCCCCGCGAAGGGGCCGGTAGCAGGTCCGGCCCGGACGGAAGTAGAGGCTGGCCCGCGCCGCGCTCGCCAGCAACAGCATCAGCAGCACCAGCCGCGGCTGCTGCACCGACCCCGACGACGCCATGCTCCTGCTCCGGGCCTGCTAGGATCCTGGATCACGCGCTGCACCTTCGACCCTTTGACCTGACCTGCGAACCCACGCGATCTGGCAGCCCCGCCCGGTCCTTTAGGAGGCGCCCAAGTTGGACACACCCCGAGGGCGGGGCCTTTCTGCTGCTCCTGCCCCGGCCCCGCCCGCCCGGCAGCCCCCCGTGGCAGAATCTGCTCCCCAGCAATCAAAGGGATTAGCAGAATTTAGGGTCACGCAGGAGGTCACACAAGCAGGCCCCGGGCCTGAGCGTTGTCACCAGCCACTGTGAACTGACTGAGCACCATTGTCAAATTACTCTCAGAGACCCGGGTACCCTGGATCAGGGCAGGGCTCTGCAGGCCTCCGTGGCCCACCCAGCCCACCATTCTTTTGTCTCCCTATTCTGGAGCGATCATGCAGTTTCAGGCTAGGCCTCCCCTAGGAACACTCAGAGAAAGATCCCACCGAGTCCGGAAGAGAGAGGTATGGGTCATCTCCAGCGCTGGACCCTAGCCTGGCTTTCTGAACTCCATTCCCCAAAAGGCCCAGGCTCTCCTCCACAGAGAGGAAGGCATGACCCTTCTGGAGTTGCTCTGGAAGGGAATTTTCACTCGGCACATATATCGTGAGCCCCTGGCATTCTGGGAAAGGGTCCCTGTAACCAATGAGGAACAGAGAAACAAGTAGGGCCCACGTCCAGGTTTTGTAATTGGAGAATTTCCCTTCCTCAAGTGCTTCATGAGTTATAGTCTGCAGCCCCATGCCACAAAACCGTCTCGTCTTCTGTAAGGAAATCCCTAGTATTTCACCTCAGGGTGGTGGCTGCGCGGCTCTCGTGGGGTTCCTCTGCCCTGCCTGGCAGTCAGAAATCAGAATGGCTACCTTGCTGCCTGCCTTGCCAGACCATCCAGCAGGACCCGGAGGCCCGCTGGATACCTCCTGTCAGCGCAGAGCAAGGCCTCACAGGCAAATCTGGGGTTCCGAGTAACAACACACAAGTGTTGGTCCCTGTTGATATCTTTCATCTTGGGAATGGTTTGAATGTGGCCCGCTCAGGTCCTATCGAGATTCACTCCAGTCTGAACCCCCTAAGGCAGTTCTCCCCAATGGTGGCCACGCATAGATAGCCTTAGAGCCTTGCCATCCACTCTGGTAGAGAGTGGAGGGAATGCCATCCCCCACAGGGACCCCACATGGGTTCTCTTTTGCCTCCCTGACAGAAGGGGAGAGTCAGTCTTGGTAATTCTATGACGTCATTCAGGTAAGGGCCTACTGAAGTGGGCAGGGATTGGTGCCTTGGAAGAAAGCGGAGGCTAGCTGGTAACATAGTTCATCAGGAGAGCTTGTACTTAGCATGCTCGCGGACCCCAGTTCAAACCCGGCACAAATAATGAATGAATGAGTTTAAAAAACGTTTAAAGACTTATTTTTACTAATGAGTGTGTCTGTGTGTCTGTGTATTATATGTGCACGTGGGTGCTGGTACCCTTGGAGGTCAGAAGAGCGTGCCCAGCACTGTGCAGTTACAAGCAGTCGTGAGTCTCAGATGTGGGTACTGAGAACTCAACACTGGTCCTCTGGAAAGGCAGTCTGTGCTCTCAACTTCGGAACTAATTAACTCATTAAAAAGGAAGGGAGGAAGGGAGGGAGGGAGGGCTGAAAACACATTGTTTGTGAGTAACAGAGGTTGTCACCAACCCCCAGAAGCCAGCCAAGGGTGTGCAGAGTCCACACACACATTTCAAGGCATTGTTATCAGCTTGGAGTTATCAGGCAGGAAGGCCCGGGAACTGAACTCACGTGTTGTCTGATTGACAGGCATCACGATGCTGTGAGCATTCACCCTCAGCTCTCGGTCACATGATGTTGGCAGCCCTGGGGTGCTGTGAGCACTGGCACTCTCACAGCAAATGCACTGTATGTAGGGGCTACTTAGCTACGAAGGACCTGCCACAAGGGCAAACGACCCCACAGTCATGCAGGGCCCCTGGCTTGGGAGGGTTTGCTTTTCTATGGCCCCAGAAAATTGCACAGCAGGTATGATGACCTTAGTGTCATCTGCCTCGCCTGCAAAGGTCACAGAGGCTAATGGGCACCTAGAGTCTTGTTCTCTAAGTCTTTGTCGCAAGGTAGCTTTTTCTCATTAACCGCTCGCAGGGGTGGGGGTTGGGAGCTGCACTAGTACAGGCTAATGAGGTGTGGTGTCCTAGATGGGTGAGTTGAAGCCCATTGGAGCTTCCCTAACAGAGAAGGCAGGAGATAAGAAGAGAAGTAAATTGGGAAGAAGGGGGGTGAGGAGCCCAAGATCTCAAGCCAAGAAGGAAATGGGGCCGTGACTCACAGCCTGCATGTTGTTTCAGCCCCTTGTGATGGGACAGAGTCAGCACAACCAAGCCGCAAGGGACCTTCACCTCCAAGTTCAGTGCCATTTGTGTGGGAGGCAACTGCCCTTCACCCGCAGTCGATGCACGGGCCGCCCTGCTTTATCCTTCTCTGAGTCCATGCTGGGGAACCCTTGGCTCCCTTTGGCTGTTGTTGTTGTTGGAGTGCGTGCGTGTGTGCATTCTGTTGCAGGGACAGGCACCTATCAATCAAAACTCCAATTTTACTGCGGCTGTTTCCAAGGGCACACGGACAAAGGAACGCGGCCGCTAGGTCCTGGGAGGTGTAGTACACGTGGTCTGCCCCTGCCCTGGTCCCATGCACACTGGAGGCTGAGTTCATCCCTGTAGCCGTGTCTCTCTCTCTCTCTCTCAAAGCAGACACACCGGCCTGGCAGCACAGAGCCACAGCCCGAAAGGTGTGTCCCTTTTGACATCACTTCAGGTGTCAACGGGGTCATTTTGGGGATAGTGACTCATCTTCTAATCTGGGCCTGAAAGGAAGGAGGCTCAGGGAAGGGCCTGCACCTTCCTGCCTCCGAGGCTCTTCTTACCCACGTGTTGCTTCTAGGAGCTGTTTTATGAGTAGTCGTGTGTCTCTGCCACCCAGGCTTGGGGCACAGTAAAGCAGGTATTCATGAACCGGGCATGTCTCTGGAAACGACGGCACAGCTCTCTGCCTGAGTGACTGGCCATGTGCCCTGGGTTGTTCTCAGAGGCGACTGAGGCATCCCAGCCGCAGGTAACTGAATCCTCCTCCTTCAGATCTTCATCCTATGTGGGAGAAGGTAAATGCACTTGGGAAGACTACACTTCCAGTCAGGACAGGATTCAGCATGAGGCTCGAGGGTACAGATCTGAATCTGAGGGTGTGTGTGTGTGTTGTTTTTTGGTTTTTTTTTTTTTTAATCTTCCATAAAGTCTCCTGGCAAACACATGATCAAGGCCACAGACACAAAAGAGTATTCATTTCTAAAAATAAGGTTGATTTTCCCCTCGTCCTAATAAAGAACAACATGGGTATTTTCGAGTGAAGCCAGGGTCAGCCCACCTTCCTAACCCAGTGGGAGGGTGGGCCAGAGCTCGTGCTTGGTGGGGTGGCCTCCAGGTCTCTCCTCCTTCCTTTGTGCGGTATTGTCTGGCTCCCACCCTGGCGAGGTGGACTCGAGTTCGTGCATGGTGGAGTGGACATTTCCTATTATTGCACATTCCTGAGTGGGGCCACATCCTGGAGACAGCATTTGTTTTGATGGCCGCTGTTCCAGAAGCAGGCTGGTTTTGCAGGGTACTGTGCTCTCCCCTCGCCAGCCACAGGCCTCCTCTTTCTCCCCTCAGTCAATGGCCAGAGGCCTGTCCTAACACACAGTCACTCAGGCAGAGAAGGTCTTCTGGTCTGGTGGCTGAGCTTTGTCATGGACCCTGCCACTGTCCCCAAGACTATCTCGCTTCACATCCTGACTTGATGTCGGCACGCGCTTGCCGTGAAAGTAGCTTCCTGGAGTTGTGTTCATGAGGTTGGTTTCAAGGCCATTATTTCCGGGACACGCTGCCTGCAGCCGGGCACCTAGTGTATGTATAGCTGACCCGCGAATCCACCCTTGAGGTCTTTCAAAGGGAAGCTTCATGTTTTGTGGGATAGAACTCACTCACCCTCGAAACCTGGGCACCAGCACCTACTGGGTGACACTTAGCGGGATGGGGCTGCCACAGCGAGGGGATCTTGATTCCCACAAAGCAAGGCTGAGACGAGGCGGTGCCAGACAAGTGGGTAAGGGCTTGAGTTCCTTCTCGGAACCCTCCCCTCAAAATCTGGCCATGAGGAGATACTTGTAGCCCCAGTGCTGGGCAGACCGAGACAGAAAGATCCCTAGGACTCGCTGACCTGAGCTAATTGGCAAGTCCAAGGACAATGAGGGAACTTGTTTCAAAAACTGAAGTAGATGGTACCCGACCTCCACACACACTCACAGGGCAGGGGCAAGCTGAGGTACTGGGGTCTTCTGAAATCATTTTCTTATCGTGTGACCGGGGATTGAGTGACGAGGCCACGGTCACCAGCTGTTCTGGAGGGACACTGATGCAGAGGGGACAGTGTGTTTGTCCAGGCTTTGGTACATGGAAACAGCTGGCAGGTGTCACAAACCAGAGGACACTTGTGGGAGGTTTCTGAAGAGATGTCAGACCACTAGGCTTCAGGGAAGAAGGCCCCTGCCATCTGCTGCCACACGAGTGCCTAAGAGCCAGGCCTGTCCATCACTCTTCCCTTGCCTTCTCTGTCCCTCTCCACATTGCCCACTCAGAGGTCTTTCTGTACCCATCTCGTGACAGCGATGCAAGGGGCGGCTTGCCTCGTCGTGGGATGGCTAAATTCTTGATTGCCTACTTGACAGACCTGGGTAGAGTGACCCTCAGTTGAGGAATTGTCACCAACAGATCGGCCCGTGGGCATACCTACAGACCCTTTTATTGGTTACTAATTAGTATAGCAAGGTCCAGCCCAGCATGGGTAGCCCAACCCATAGGAAAAGCTGGAGGAAGAGAACTAACTGAACAGGAGCCCAAAAGCTAAGCCAGACAAGTTTCCCACATGGCGTCGGCTTCAGGCTTCTGCCTTAGGTCCCTCAGTGGTGGAGTATAATGTATAAAATGAAAAGCTTCTCTGGCCATGGCATTTGTCACAGCAAGAGAAACCAAACTAAGACATCCCGGCCGTCCCTG